GGGGGGGGATGAAAGGAGTAGAGAGGAAGCTTTACTTAAAATTCCCCCACCACTATTTTGAAGCACAGGGCTGCTGTCACATGAGACATGGAAGCTGCTGGAGCATTCTAATTAGCATGCTCCAGCAGACCCAACTGAGTCTGCTCTGACGTGCTGTAATTACAGCATGTTGGACCAGCCTCCCTGCATGTCTACAGGCACCCACAGGTCTCAAGTCTTCTAAATATGATCAGAAGCAATCCAGTTCAAGTATGTGGACATCTAAAATCTCGGCTAAGCCCAACTGGAAAAAACCTAAAATCTACCCTGACCCATTAGATGCCCACAGAGCACATCTAACTCACCCTGACATCACTCAGTTCAGTACAAAGTGCTTCTCTCTCAATCAATCTCACTTAGGAACCCTGAAAGGTAAGAAGGGTAACATCCACCTTTTGCACAATACCTTACTGGTTAGAGCACTTTCCAGAAAGCTAGAAGGATAAAATGACACTATGTGCCCAGTAATATCAACACATCAATAGAAAGGAGGAAACTTGGGTTCTAGTCCTTCTTGCCAGGATTATTTTTGCTTTTTAACTAGTGACTGCCTAACATAAAAAATCCAGAAATGGTCCTGGCAGGAGTGCACTCTCCTGAGAGAAGGGAGAAAAAACTTGAATCCCCTCAACAGGAAGAGGATCTAAAAGAGAGCCCCCCTTCACAGGCAAATTGCTAGGCTATTATGCAAAAGGTGGGCACCATTATCACTAGCGGTCAATTTGATGCCTCCACTCTGAGCACCCTGGATCTGAGATGAAAGAAGCACCTAATGTTTTAGAAAGCAGCCTAACCCCTTAAGAAAGGCAAGGATTCAGACACAGCTCTGTGCCTACCACTTCTTATTGACTATCTTTAGGCACCTCCCAGCTCAATATCTGAGCTCCCAGAATCACCCTCTGGAGGTACCTCACTCTCTCTCTACTGCAGGAGCGTAGGTAATTATAGGGTGGCCATCATACAGGACATTCCGGTTTTCTGCTACTCTGCCCTCTATTGAGACGAAACCTGATGCCTTTATGTCCTCTATTTTTCTCTTGAAGAAATAATAAAGGCATCCAGTTTTGTACCAAAAGAGGACAGGGGACAACCAGACTGTCCTCTACGATGACCATGCTAGGTGATTACCCTTATCAGTTTGGATCAACCACCTATGGCAAAGAACCTACTTCATTTTTTTAAGGCATTGCCGCCCCTTGGTGGAGACACCTACAAGGTTGACCTGACTCCATTTTCAAAGGGGCAGAACTGCCAATTTTGATCTGCATTGACTCCCCATGACTTTCCACCACCTTAAGGAGCCACCCTATCTCCACTACCATAATATGAATCCTTGCTAGAGTTTTTCTACCTCAGACTCCACCCAAGATTATAGTGACCTAAACTAAGGTCAGTCTGACCTATTCCATTTATGCTTTTCTTTCATCTTTCTTACCAACTCATATTACAGTGCTGCCAACCATTTGCGAAACATTTCAGGCGAATAACCAGTCAAATGGTAATGCACTTTTACATAACCACTATTCATAAAAACACACTCAGATCCATATATCCATTTGAGGTTACATTTACAAATACATTATGCTCAATGACCTGCTTGAAAGACTATCCAAAAATGTGCACATATGTAAATCATTCCTTGCTGGAATCTTGGGCAAAGTGACAGGAACCAAAGAATTTGGTTACCTCATCAGTGTTTGGCACTCCACATACTAGAGCTTAAACGCTTACAGGTTTATGAGCCATCTGTCTATGGAGAACCATTGGGTGGTGCCTGCATGGTTTGATGCATGTGGTCACTAGTTCTTAGGACCAGTAGAAAGTGAACTGTGCCATAAAAACATCATACACTACTTCTGCCTTTCTGCCTGCAGAACTATATCTTTGTAAGTCTCAGGAACTGAATTGTGTTGGACAGTGCTTCAGGAAAACAGAGTAACTTATATCTCAATGGAAAGGGGAATTGTGAGCAGAGAAAGGAGCAGAAGAACCATTTCACTCCCGACCAGGACTGTAGGTAATGGCAGCCTGTTTTGGAAACAGCAGGACCTTTCAGCTTGGAGCTCCCAGGAATTCTGCTAACATCTGAGCACCAGACATGATGCAGAAAAGAACACCAGCCAGAAAGCAGCAGTCCTATTAACCCAATCTCTACTTGGATGTGCACAGATATATGGTTCACTATTGATGCCACTGAAGGGCATTTAAGGCACTGAAACATATGCAGGGAGCCTGCTCCTGTGCACTGGAAATCCAGCACATCAGAGCAGACTTGATTAATCAAGCATGTAAATTGATGTGCTCTGGCAGCCTCGTGTGTCATGTGTACCAGCGGTGCAGAACACCTCTGCCCTGGGTTCAGCACGCCTTCATGCTGAGAAAATGGTGGCAGTGTGCTTTAAATTAAAACATGTTCAATGTGCTTTAGTTAAAACCACACCACCACCATTTTCTAAGTGCGCAGGTGTGCTGCACCACTGATGCATGTGACGTGCAGGCACTTTTCATTAGCCTGGCTCGCTAATTAAAAGCACCTGGCACCGCATCAGGAACACATGTAAAAATGCTCTTACGTTCCTCCAAGGAGAACAAGTTTAGGCCACAAACAGATTGAGACTATCATTAAATAAAAGTTTGTGTTGAGTTTAAGAACAAGGTTTAGGCTTATTCTTCAACTGGGTATAGGTATTAATTACAAGGCAGATGCTCATAGGGCTTAAAAATACAGGGAACAAACATGGGAGCTGGCCACAAAAGTAAAACTTACAGGATGGCTAACACATTTCCTTTTAGCAAAGGCTCTGAATTGCTGATAAAAAGGGGAATCTAATTCTACTAAAGCTTTCTTTTAAAGCCTATACTCCTTCCACATATAAGACGATGTTACTGCTGCCAATCCCATAGAGACTCTGAAAAAAATTGAAAAGGGAAGGGAAAAACCCAAAGATGTAAAAAAGGCAAAAATGAAAGGCAAAAAAAAAAAGAAAGAAAAGAAAGAAGAAAGTAGAACAAATTAGAGAACAAAAGCACTAAAGGAAGAGCAGAATAAAGCTAAAGGAGAGAAACAATGGAGGAAATTCCTGAAATGTGAGGGAGACAAGATCAGAGAAACTTGCCCTCCCAAGTCCTTTGCATGAGTTGCTACTGTTTGCTCTATGAGGCCCTGCTCTGCTAGAACTGTGGTGGTGCAGGAGAGGGTCCAGCACAGGGTCTGGCTCTTTTGCACTAACGATGCACATGTCCTCTCTCTCTCTCAGCATCCCCACCCATAAGGAAATAACAGCCCTTCTCCAATTTTTTCCAAACACTCTGGGATCTCCAGATAAAAATACAGCTATATAAATATATTGTATTTTCATTAGGGAACAGCCAGGTTAATGTCAAATTCTGTCCTTCACCAGGGGTACCACTACATCAAGAGCTAGTCCTCATTTTTATTTCATAAGAACAATTCATTCTTTGCCATTCAAAATCTCCTTTAAGCTCCCTGTATAGATCAAATAAAAGTTTGTTTGTCAAATCCATCCATTCAAAAAACCTGCTTCTCTTTAGATCTAAAATGGAAAGACTGTCTAGATCAATAAATAATTTTGAGAATCTCTTAATTTCCTTCTCTTCATCAACAATAGTTCAGCAGCATTTTCAAGTGCCACAGCTGTTAAGACCTAATTTGAGTGACTCCCAATGAGCTGATAACTATTTACCTATACTTGTGACTTTATTCTTTAACACCTGTACACCCGCATGTCTCAGGTGACATTCCAGCCTCAACAGCAACCAATTTTAACATAAACTTTAAAAGACAGCTAGATTTTGTCTACTGTGGGCCTGATCCTGCAACATTTTTTTTTTTTTTTACATATTTAACTTTACTATGAGTAGTCACAACTGAAGTCAGTGAGAATAAGCACAACAGCAAAGTTACATATATGACAAAGTGTTTGGAGAAGCAGGACTCAAATAGAGAACTGTATCTTAGCCTTACTGATTCTCCATCTTTTTTTGCCTTCCCAAATTCCATAACACTACATGCACAAACACATTTGCACTTAATTTGAAAAGAAACTTCCATATTTGCTATGCATCTCTCTCTAAACAACAACTTTTTATTATGCATTTCTAAGTTTTGCCATAGAAATGACACATACATTACTGAACATTTATCCCAGCAAGAACTAACTTTTTACCTCATTTATGACAAGAGATTTATCAGGAGATTTAAGAAATGCAACATTAAACTGACATTAAAGCATATAGCACTCTCCAAATCATTTAACACAACGTATAGATTTATCCTATATGGTACCTTTGTATTGTAGATCTTCTCCAAGTTTGTTGGAGCATACAATCAAGGTTTGCTTCAAGTTCAATGTTCAAGAGCTGAAAAGGTAAATCAAATATATTAAAAGTATCTTGCTAAAAGTAAGTGGTTTAAGCACATAAAAGAAAAAGTAAACTCAATGTACAAAATTACCATTTGGTAATAAGTTTCAAATATACCAGTCATTTACCATCATGCAGAGTATTTTATGCATGATAAGAATGATGCACTATTTGATAATCTGCTGAATATCAGAAAAACTATATACATCTTTAAAGTAAACTTGGATGCAAAACTCAAAAATAGTACAATATAGGTTCTGGAAACATGTTTCAGACTACTAATTTTGTAACAACCATCCATAATGACAGAACAAAAACAAAACAAAACAAAACAAAAACCTTACATTCAATATGCAAAACTGTTAGTGACATACCAGGGGGAAAAAATCTGTTATTAAACCACACACACTGCTATATATACACATATTTGAGCCTTAAACAACCTTGGATTTGCAGTAGAATAAAGGCACAAATAAAAGAACCATGTACAAATGAGGATCATCATCATATTTTGCCATTTTAGTCTCATGAAATGCTAAAAAGGGCAATTCTATGACATTCTAAATGTTGGCTGCATACAATTTTGCAGGCACATGCATAGCACCTAGCCACAATTATTCCCTAGAGCCTCTATAAATTCTCCTAGTGAGTCTGACACAGTGATACATAGATGGAATAATCTATTTGATAAATCTAATGTGGTGAAGAAAGCATGGGGGGTGGTGGGGAGACAGTTAACTCAGAAAGATGTAGCACAGAAAGAAAAGAAAACAAACAAACAAACAAAAAATCAACAGACCAGGGAAAGAAAGAAAAGAAAACACAGAAAGAACCGGCAACAGTTTAAGTGTCTGGCTATGCTTCAGTATGTCTTTTTTATGTACCACCACTTCGCTGATATCCCCATCAGTTTCTGTCTACCAATTTACTTTGAATATTTCTAAGACACCTATCCCATCACTATCTATGATTTCTGCAGAAAATGCTGTTAGACAATAATAGCTCTACAAGTGAGTCTACACTAGTTTCTTGCCCAGGTTTCACCTGCAAACTACACCATTGCTGCCACTAGTATGAACTCTCATGTAGATAGAGCGAAGGCACCCCAACAAGATTAAATGATCCAGTAGTCAGGAAACCTATGCCCACCAGCCATTCATATTCTTGGTCACGTAACTGACCTTTTGATGAAAAACAGGTATTTCTTAGTGTGAATGTGCAGTTAGAGAAATATAAAGTGCTTCCATTCCTCCTAATGTGCTGTTTATTCTAAAGTCCGAAGATAATTAACAGTGCTGATATTTTAAATTTATTTCCCTTGTTATCATTCCTGCAGAAACAAACAAGCATAAAGTTCAGGGTGTTTTTGAGAATCAGAACAAGAAGAAAAATTTCAAATCAATAGTTTGTGAGGATTTTACCAATTCCTTTTACCAGAGATACAGCATATTGACTTGCAGTTACTATTTTATATTTTAAAAAAAAACAAAAATCCCACTTGACTCTACATTCCATATATTCCAGGAAATCTTTAGAAATATGACAGTTTCCAAGACTGTTTACTCCATATACTCATTTATGGCCCCTACTGCTTCTGTCAAATGCATGACTTTAAAAGTTTGGAATCCACACTAAAGGTGTATGAACAACAGGGCTATCGCTCTGCATACCATTTGATCCCCAAAGGTGTCAGAGCCTCCAAGAAGAGAAACACAGGAATCACAAAGAGAATCCCATTAAAGCTAAAATGAAAATCAGCCAAACATCTATAAAAGCAATGGAGCTACTTAGTAAGTTATACCATCAGGAACAATACAAAGAATTGTTGAGTAATCCCTACCACTATCTCTGTTTCTTTTTCTTTACTTTCCTCCTGGTCCATCACTTAGCCTTGTGATGTTCTCTTCTTCAGATGATGTAAACTCTCTAATCTACCCTTTCCCCTCTTGTGTTTCTGTCTCATCTCTTATCCTTTTTTCTGCCAATATCTTCTGCCTCTAGTCCCAGTTCCCTGCTGCAGTGTTTATTCCACATTAACATCATCACATACAGGTTGAACTCGACTGGCCCAGTGAGGCAGCGCCTTTCCTACAAGTTGCCATTTGGATTCCATAGGCTTGTCTACATCAAAGTTCTGCCAGCAGATCTGACAGATAAGGATGTGAAAAGATCCCACCCCATATCCAACACAGGTCTGCTGGCAAAACCCACGGTGTGGACAAGGATTTGTTAGCAGCAAATTCTTTCAAAATTTTTGGGAGCTGGCATAGCTCTGACAAAAAACCTCCTTCTGCTGGTATTTCTGGAACCAAAATAGTAAAGGGGGTACATTTTTCTTCTAACAACACCATTCAAAATGGGAATGAAGAATCAAATGCCATCACAATGTCAGATGGCACTGACTGAGCTGGCAGGCAGTCTGAAACAAAAATGTCTGATACATGAACTACTCTGATTCATCTAAAAGGGGTGTTAACCTAAAGCTTCATTAAAATAATGTAGTTGTAGTCATCATTCAACTATTTCAGCAGTGCAGTAACTTGCTACCCAAAATGCACAGGAAAGGTCTGGGATATCATGCACAATATGCTGTGTGAAGGATCTAGTTAAGGGGAGGAAGGATCTAGTACAGGGAAAGGATCTAGTAGGAGAAATATGGTTCACAGGTATGGCATAAGAAAGTGCCGCTGTATCTGCCCGGCAAATCAGCTATCACACTGCACTGTGGTGCTCCTTCTAAATACTTGCCTGCAAACGTGACACAGAAAACTACCTGCTCACACTATTGTTTAACTGGAACAGACCTGCACTCTTGTCACTACCATATCATTTCTAAAACCCTGCATCCAAGTAGCATTCATTTTAGAAGTGGACATTCTGAAAAACACATATAGATATGAAACCAATCAGAAATAGTATTTATGTGTACTGTTCTTCTTTCTTTATCATCATGGGCTGCATCTTAGAAAAAAATTATGCCTTCCAAAGTTATCCTACATTTAAATACCAAAAAAAAACCTACCAGAGTTACTTACATCTTCATTTTCCAGTACTGACAAACTGACAGACTAAAGGACAAAGGCATAATTTAACAGACTGCTCTGTGTAAAGACACAATGCAGTGCACAAAAAAAATTCATCAAATGCCCCTGTCAGTATGCCTTACAAAGTACAGCTTAATGAACGTATGCAAATTGCTATAATATATAAAATGTCTGGTACCTCTTCAACTAGTAATGCGCTTATGAAGAAATCTATAGAGGATGGTAAGATACATCAGTCTAATTTGTCTTTGAAATAAAGCGATTTGGTTTCCTCAAGATAATTTCAATCTCTTTTTTTAATGCCCGATGGCACGACAGCAACACATTACATACAATGAACCACCACTCTAGACCCTGGAAGACAGGATTATTAAATAGAAAAAGCATTTGGCTACAGACAAATTGAAGGCATGCTGCTGCATACTGGTATAACTTGAATAGTTTCCTCAGTTGTTTTGACGTCTTGGCGTTTATCATTATTTCCAAGCCTGATGAATTTAAGCACGCCCCCCTTTTTTTTTTCACAATTTCAGCCTGAAGTGAGATTTCCCACCAACTTCCAGATTTAAAAGTAAGAATCCTAGTCACATTCTCCAGCACTGACCACAACTGAGGGATGCATCATAAGATGTGTAAGGAGCCCAAGGTCTTTTCAGCTGCTGTATTTTTAACACCATCCTATTGGAGCTGATCTACCTTCTTTATCAAACCATTTATTTCAACAACATATAGCTTCTGAAATAATTTTTTTTTTAAACCCTGTACTTTTGGTTGATAGTTTCCAGATTTTTAGGAATAAAAAACTAGAAATCAAATATTGAAACTATTATAAACTTGTCATTGTTTTTCAAAACCAACATTTTTTCTTAAAAGCGTTTTTTAAAAAAAAAACCTTTTTCCCAGTTTGACAAAGAAAGAAAAACTATGGAAAGTTGGGTGGGTGGAGAAGCTTAAAATTATTTGAAATTTTCCATGAACATTAATTTCCTTTGGCAACCACCTATTCTATCTATGCAAATGAACATTTATACAAGATTCTTCATCTTAATTTGTAACCACCGTTAGTGATATATTAGAGAAATAAAAATAGATATACCAGCACCCATTCATCAGTTGTAGCAGCCATGGTTACTACTGAATGCTGAAGCCTCTAGCCTCTGCAGAACACTTCTCAGCCAGGTACAGACATTACACTTTTACCGTTATAAGTTATCAGAAACTGGTCTATATCCAGAACAGAAGTTCAGCACACAAAACCAGTCTATACCTGTTAATAGAACAGAAGTTTGGCACACTGGTTAAAAATGGCAAAACCCAGTCTAAGATTTGCTCCCTCTCCCACAGATGAGAATGAATGTGTGTTGTTTGCTACTAATCTAAACTACACCACTTACAGAAAACCACGCAACTTGGATCAATTCCGCCTCAGGCTTTTTGAATGTTTAGCCCTCTATAATGAAGAAAGGGTTAGTTGTGCATCACATAGTAGAACCCTATGGAATGTGTTTGGCCAATAGCTAAGATTTAAATTAAATTACTAGGATAAAAGATTGTAATTTACAACCTTACAACCAGTCTTCTCCTGTTGGAAGAAATAGTATCTTATTTTGGGCAAAGCATAAAAAGAATAATGCAACAAAGTAAACCAAGCAAAAACTGAAAGACAGATACAGATTTCCTGCATCCTCATCTTTCTGTTTTTAGACCTGGGTATGGCACAGAAAAATGCTGTTGGTGTCTGCTGAGGATCTCTGAATGACAAGCAAGCCAAAAGGTATCTATTCCAATTCTTTTAGACACCACACACTAGACCTCCAAAAATCCACTCACTTGGAAGAAGCCACATTTATGTAAAATGTAAGTTTTCATATTAGAGAAAAAGGTTTCTAATCCTAGGATGGTAAAAACAAAAGTTAAAAATAATACAATGAGTAATTATCTATTAATCTATATGAGAAGAGCATTCCACTGTCAGATATGCTCACTGATTGTCTTACAACCTGAAAATAAAAACAAGATACAGATTTTGTCTAATAAATAAGTGATCTCACCAAGTCTTAGATCATCCCTTACCCATTTCATATTATTACTGAAGTAATTACTGCAGCTATCAAACAGATACATTTTATTCATCCATTAGAAAACATGACTAAGTTGGATAGTCTACAGTACTGAATTTTTGCATTTCTGAAATCAGAGGGCAACAATTTCAGTATCAAGTAAAGAAATACTAACTAGCATGGCTTGTTTCTTTGCAACATTATTCTCAAATGATTATTTTAGAATTCCAGATTTAGAACTATATTAGAATTTTAGCATTTTGATTATTTTCACCATTAATATTTTCTCAGTTAACAATCAAACAATAACTCCTTCAATAAATATGATATATTTTAAGATGTACCTGTTTAATAAGGTAGTTAACCCTATTAGTTTGAAAACAGGAAAAAGGTAGGGCATGGTGGCACATGAAAAGTAGGTTGCTCCCTATAAAAACGCATGCCTCTCCGAACCAGTTAGGCCACAGACAGACGTTACATTTGTAGGATTAAAATAGTTGAGTGGACAAAAGTGCCCATCCCCTATAGTGGTACAAAATGGAAGACGTTCCACAAAAACAGGAAACAGGAAATGTAATGCTACATATAACATCTGTACAATGTACCATAGTGTTACAGGAAAATCTCTTGGACCCTCAGCACTGTGCAGTGCTCTGTCCCTCCCCTCCAAGGGCAGCAGGAGGGACAGTAGGGAGGGCAGTCCCTGATTATTCTTAGTCTTCTAATTTCCTGAAGGGGAGAGAAGGGATCAAGGGAGCAAGCAGCAGCCCCACCAAGAGAGTCCAGTGGCAGCAGCCCATGCACTGACAGCCTGCCACCCCCATGGACAGAGAGGCAGGGAGCAGAACTGCAATCCCTACCATGCACCCTACCTGGAGAGTATTACAGCACTTCTTTGTTTCAAAGTTCTGTGACACATCTAGCACTATAAAAGTAACATCTGCCCATGAGCAATCTTTAAGGTGCCACCCTGCCCTACTTTGTTAATCATAATTTTACTTTCAGATAGGCACATTCGTGGCTCTAGTTCATTTCCAAAAGCCCCATACACATAGACTAAAATAAGGGAATAAACAAATGGAAAATATTCCTTTATCATACTTCCTTTATTCAGACTTCCACTTTTACTTCCATCATCATCACCACCAGTATTTTAGAAGAACTTTTCATTTTAAATTTAGTTCAGCAGCATTTTCCACCTTTGACTCTACATCAAGGACCAAAAG